CATATTTCTTAATTATATATTACATTTTCAAATGAGCTGTACAAATATAATACCTTAAACAAGAGTAGAAATATACATATAGTATAACAAAATTAACTTTAAATTTGTATCAATAAACTAAAATCCATAGCAATGTAAAACATTTTAAACAAGTTGTTGCTCTTTAAAAGTAGATTCAATAATCTGCCCTTTTATCCTATCATATCTATATTATCCCCTCTTTTTTTTTTAAGAAAAAGATTGTATTTATAATCAACCCCCTTTAAATAAAAATAAACATTTATAACAAATTTTGGGAATTTGAGCATAGCTTCTCATACTACTTCCTGGTCAGGGGTACTGGCAGTCTTATGGGGATCCTGAGAAAATTAAGAATTATGGTCAGGTCCTGACTGGAGTAGTCTGTGAGGCTGCATTGTCCCAGCCAGTTGCCTTGAAGCTGTTCTGGATGTTGGATCATCTGGAGACCTCTCAGGGGATCTTCCTTGATCAAACCATATTAACTTGGAAGCAATCCGTAAGTTCTTATCTTCTGTGGAGACAAAAGCAGAACCTCTTTTCCAAAGCAATGTATCCTTAGACATAAATTTTGAAGTCAAGATACCTTTAAAATATACATATTGGCTTAATTCAGCAGCTTTTACAATCAAATGTCTTTCTGCAGTTAAAAATCCCAAAGACAGTAAAATCTAGACTCTGTGATTTCCATCTTTACATGGCTTATTTTTTATATTACTTTTACTGTCTCTTTAAAGACTTCATTTTTTAAAACTATTCCCTTATATAACTGTTTATCCTCCTTTTCCTTTCTCTTCCAAGCCTATGTACATTTTTTACACATGTTGTAAACCGGTTAGAGTTTTATTCCATCTGAATCTGTCTTATTATGAATCTGTAATCCTTCCCTGACCAGGAAAGATTTTAAACTGCTAAGCTTTGTGGCTGAGATTGAAGAGGCAGCCCTGGCTGCTGACTTCACTTTTCAATATGGTGGAGGTGCCCAGGAGAGTTGCACTTACCCCGCCAACTCCGGGGCCCATGCTGCCATCAGGTAGCATGCAGCTGGTCCGTAAACAGAGACTTCTGCCCACAAGCAGTGATGGTCACAGTGGATTGGAATGCCCCTCCTGGTCTGCCAGCATGTGCTGTAGTGCTAAGTTCCTAAGGGCCTTTTCTTCGGAGAATTTGAAAGTTCGAAAACATTTACCAGTAAGAATCTCCAGTCCTGTTTCCTAAGGATTGGCTGTCTAGAAGAGTTAGTCTGTCTGCACTTAGCCACAGCTTTCCTAATGAGGTGGTTGGCACTGTGGTACATCAGCCAGCATCATCTTGGGTTGTGGTGGTGATGCACTCAGCTGTTTATAGCATCATATTCTCTTATAGTATGGCCGTGTCTTGTGTACTGTGCTTCCTTTGTGGTGCACAAGGACACCAGTACATCCAGGACAGTGGGGGAAAGGGAAAGCTGGTGAGTCAGCTGTCTTTGGAGAAGAGCAGAGCTGTCCTTTCTCCCCAGGGAGGCAGGAAGAGAGGCTTTGGTCAGCTGGTACCACATTCTGAGAGGCAGAGGGCAGTCTTGGGGGAGAGACCATGTTTTCTGGTAGGGCTGTCTAGATGGGGGTGGCTTTCCTTGTTGCATGCAGTACACCAAGGAAACCCCCTAGGGAAGTTCAGAGGCAGGGTCCTGGATGCTGAGCTAACAGCAGGCCAACCACACACCTCATCCTTGGTGAAAGTGCAAGAAGCAAGGACACCTTGACCATGTCCCCAAGTGCTAACCTGGGCCTCAGGTGATTGATTGCCAGGCTTCGGTGGATCTAGTCACATCATTTCATAACATTAACAGGGGAAGTGTGTGTTTATCCTTAGTGTCTTAAATTTTACTATTCTCTGAAATCCTAAAGACTTGGAACTCAACTAGATGACTAATGTCTGTGATGCCTTCTGCCTTTGAGATTGGGAGACCTCCCCCCCTTCTTACTCAGCTACCATCTACAGGAAAGGGAGGCCAAGTTTCTTTATGAGTGAATACTGAGGTTTGAGTCCACATCAGAAAGTTTATTATAAGAGTGATTCAACTCGGATGGTACTTTTACAAGTACTTCGTATTTATTTATTTATTTACTGGGGGCACTTGTACCACAGTGTATGTATGAAGGTCAGAAGACAGCTCTCAGGAGTCAGTTCTCTCCTCGCACCATGAATGTGGGTCCTGGGGGTTAAATTCAGTACATCAGGCTTGGAGGCAAGTGCCTTTAGCTGCTGAGCCACCTCATAGGACCAGATGTTACTTCTTTTTTCTGATGTGATTTTTCTCTTAAATACTTTATCTTAACTTAAAAGTTATTGGAAACAAGATTCTTTTTTGCTAATATCTTCAGCAGAGTTTTATTAGCACAGGCTTTGAAGTCAGCAGATAAACCTGAATTAGGCCAAATGTGGTCATGCATGCCTTTGATCTCAGCACTCAGAAGGCAGAGGTAGGTAGACCTCTGTGAGTTCAAGGACAGCCTGGTCTATATAGTGAATCCCAAGCTAGCCAGGGCTACCTAGTGAGACCAGGTCTCAAGAAACGAAGAACAACATCAAAACCCAGGTGAATTAGCTCTCCCAGTCTGTGACCCAAGGCCTCATCAGCTGACTCTCTGAAATGCAGTGCAGCTCTATAAGCCTTGAGTTCAGCACTATGTGCAGCCTCGGAGCAGAGCTCTGATCTCTGTTCATAGCATTATCATCACTGCTTGGCACAGTTTCTGCAAACAAAAGTGCAGATGTTTTTGAGACATGCTCTGTGCACTTCAGATACCATAGTGTGGCTGCAGTCTACTAAAAATAGAAGGTATGGATTGATGCCCAAAACAGCAGGGCCAGGACTCCTGGCTCATCTGTACAGACTGCCTACATGCACCACAGCTTGGTTGTGGGGTTTCTGTGGAAAGCATTCCATCAGTTCTATTTTATTTGTTTGTACGGTTTGTCATCCTGGTATGTGCTACTGTGTGTGGGAAAGATACTGATTTTCATTATGTATTTCCATGTGAAATGGTAAAGACACACTAAAGGTTTTGTTGCTGTTGCTTTCTTTTGTTGTTTGTTTTACTTTGGCTTTTTTGAGACAGTCTCCCTATGTAGTCTTGGCTGCCCTGGTGCTTGGTAGTATCCCTGGTTTACCTCAAACTCATGGTAGTCTTCTGAGTGCTGGAATTACAGGCCTGTATTACCACATTCATCAACTACTGCTTGTCATACTGTACATTGGAAGAGCATTGGGTTACATTTGCTTTGAAATAAGTAATACTGCTACGAGTGGGGGAATGCTATCCTTGCTGTAAATGGCTCCAACGGTGTTTCATCACAATGCATATTTACTGTACCTTGAGTGTACAGAGGGTTCTGACTGGCAGTAGAGCAGGTGGTACCATTCAGATTGTTGTGTGGGTGTGTGGCATTGGTTTTCTGAAATGTGGGTGTTGCTGACTAAAGCAATTAGTATTTGAGATCCAGCTCTCTGAGGACAGGTATCCCAGGTGGCAGCGTGGCTGTCTTGTTGACTGTTCAGGACATGTCAGTTTTTTGTGATTTGCAAAAGCAGAGAAGACTTGTACCCCACATGACCAGTACTAACCAGCCCAACCATGGCCCTGGGCAACTGTTCTGATCACCAAAATCTCAGTGTTTTTGTTAGAAAAAGGAATACCAATTGCCAGTGGATATAAAAACCTAGTTAGAATTTCATCGTGTGGATTTTGCTGTTGACATTCGCTATGGTCTTGTTATTAGTAGTCACTATAAAGCAGGCTGTTTACCAGCATTCTGCCAAGATCCCTCTGGTTATTGAAAGTTGCAGTTTTCCCTCAGCTGTGTTGATCACAGTCTTGAATGTAGTGCCTAACTGAGGCTTCCCCGATTAGATCCCACAGACAGCATCTTTCCGTGTCTGTGAGCTTTGACGCACAGATGGCTACAGCCCAACTGTCTTCGCATTTTGTCAAAGGCAGCTCGCAGAGGTAGAGTAGTTTGTCGGCTGACTGTCGCTTATTCTCCCTTCTGGCTCTGTTGTGTACTGCAGTGTGGCCCATTGGCATCTTTGTTTGTCACTGTGGCCTTTTTTGGCAGGAGGGCACTAACAGCTTGAGCTGTTCGGGTGTCGTGAGGGAAGGCTTTGCCTCTCAGCCCTAATTTAGAACATTTCCAGGGGGCATTCGTAACATGGGAAGCATCTGCAGCTCTGCTTTCACTGATTAGGTAATTCTCTGATTTCATACTGATTGAGGGTATGGAAGTCTAGGTGCAAAGCCCCGTTAGCTTCACAAGGTAGGGATGCAAAGATCCTGCAGTGCTGCCCTGCTTCTCCTGAGATGCACTCGAGCACAGAGGTGGAAATGAAAAGCTGGCCAGGCAGAGCCAACCTTCCTGCCAGAGGACACACTTTCTGGAAACATCTTTTGCTCCTTTGAACAAATTCGTTCATTTTAGAAAGAAGTCATGAGCACTTAAATAAGCCCCACAATTGCTTAATTCTCCATATGACCCTGCATGTGGGTGCTCCAAATGAACTGTATCGAGGTCTGCTTAAAAATAGGCCTGGGGACCCTAATTCCTCCCCAGGGTAGCCCAGCCTTTTACAAGGGAGGCATCACAGAGTGGACACCAGTGTGAGGCCACAGCGGGATCCTTGTGTGGGGGGCGCTGCCCTTCACTTTATACACAGCTTCCTGTCTGCCCGTTACTGGATGTGGTGGGACCAGCTAAATCTGTCAGTTCCCCTTTGAATTCTATGACTCTTTGGCTCTTCATTATTGGTGTGTTTCTTGTCCTCTTGTAGGCAGGCAACCTCCAGACTCACTTACGCCGGCACTCTGGGGAGAAGCCATACATCTGTGAAATCTGTGGAAAGAGGTCAGTGCTGGGCTTGAGTGAGGGACTGTGGGTGGCCCAAGTCTTTGCAGTGTTGCGTCACTGGCCACCAGGGCTCACACAACCATGGCAGAGCACAAGTACATTCACTCTGCGGCACATGAGAGAAGAAGAACAAAAGTTCATGGAGAGCAGGAAAATCTAGGTTGGGTCCCCAGGAAGGAAGTCGGCTTTACAGGAAACAGATTAGTTTACGTCAAAATGTTCATTCTAAAAACATCCCCAAGGAGGAGACTGTCTAGTCAGGGGAAACAGTGCCTGCAGCCTGAGTGACTAGACATCCAGAGATAAGGCGACAGGGCGTACCTAAGCTGTGTTATCAAGCCGGGCTGCTGGCTTCAGGACAGAATCAGTGACACTCAGCACTGGCAGGTGAGCTTTGACCTGAAAACTGAGTGTTGGCATGGCAACAGGGAATCAGCCCATGTTGGTGGGTTGACGCCTGTGCAGTGATTCCTTCACAGGGCATGGGTAAGCGAGGAGCTTGTCCATCCCTCCTGTGTGCACAGGCCACAGCCTCAGCCCTCCATCCCCTTGCTCGGTAACAGTCCTGGAGCATCTTACTGCACCATCCTGCCACTGTGCTAGAACTGCAGCCTCCACCAGCAGCCTCAGAAGCCATAGGCATCCCCATTGCTCCGGGCCTGGATTCCATCGTGTAGTTACTCATTCGTCCAGCAGCCGTTACTCCCACCATCTGCTCAGTGCTGTGAGGGGAACACAAACGTCAGGAGCTCAGATTCTCTACCCTTCACAAGTCCTCCTTGCAGTGGCTGGAAGGTTAAAAATTCTAGGAGCGTAGCAGAGGGGAAATCAAGCCTCAGTGGGTTTGGAGAGCATGCCTGCCTCTGCCTTGGAAAATGGAACGAAGCAAAGAGTGCTGTGCTGACCACAGCTCCCTCTATTGGAACTACCTGGACATAAAGCCAGGTTCTGGGTGGTATTCTCTGGTCATGGCAGGTGCCCAGCAGCCCAGACAGAACTGCCTCACATGCTGCCACTTCCCATGGGCTCCTGAGTGTATTTTTGCAGTGTTGAAAATTAGGATCTTGGCAGTTCCATGTAAGATCTTTTCTGTGGCTCCCTTCCTTGGAACAGCCTACCCACCTTCACAGGGGGCAGCCAGGAAAGAGTGTAGATCTCCACATCATGGGTGAGAGGTCCTTGTTGCCTGCCCAAGCTCGTGAGCATCTCTGCACTCAGTGTGTTTCCCATGAGAAGGTGGGGTGAAAGGGCCTCCTGTCGTGTGGAGACACATATGGAAGGTACCAATTGTCAGACTCCATGAACACTAGTCCCTCCTTTATCCCCATCTCTGTCCCTCTGTCTGAGGATGGGTGTGTATGGGTCTCCAGTGTGGGCTAGAGGCGAGCGAGTGAGCTCATTTTCTAGGATGGGTGAAGGAGGGCCAGACTGTCTGTATTTCACACTAGGGTGAGCAGAGCTGGCTTCATTGCCAAGACCATGCAGAGTCACTCTGTGCGCTCCAACGTGAGCCTTGGGCTGGCACACCACATGGAGCAGGATGTTAGCGCCATAGGGCTTCACGTTCCTCTGAACTGTGAGACTGGCCAGGGAGATGGCTCAGAGAGTAAAGGCGCTTGCAGCCAAGCCTGGTGACCTGAGTTAGTTCCTGGGAACCACATGGTGGAAGAACTAACCCCCACCCAGCTGTCCCTGACCTCCACGCGCATGCTGCAGTGTACATACATAAGGGGAGAGGAAGTGAACTGTGACTGTCTCACCGGTTGGCCTTCTGGTCTTGTGCTGTTGGAAACTGGGAAGAGTGTGATGATGCAAGCGGGAAGTGCCTTTGAATCAAAACACGGGCATCACTAGAAACGGTTTTACACACAAAGCAGGCCACACCAAGCAGGTGGGGTGGTCTCTCTCCTCTGAATGGTCCCAGTTATCAGGGTCTTATCAGTGTCGCCAGTCTCCTGAGAGGACTTTGCATTCCTTGCAGGTTTGCGGCCTCTGGTGATGTCCAGCGCCACATCATCATTCACTCTGGAGAGAAGCCACACTTGTGTGACACATGCGGCCGAGGTATTGCTGAGTGAGCGAGTGACTCCCTATGTTCGCAGGGTCACTGCTCCAGGCTCCTGCCTGTCAGCCTAACCCCTGCTGTGGTCTGTCTAGGGTTCAGCAATTTCAGCAATTTGAAGGAGCACAAGAAGACGCACACAGCTGACAAGGTGTTCACCTGCGATGAGTGTGGGAAGTCCTTCAACATGCAGAGGAAGCTGGTGAAGCACCGTGTGCGGCACACGGGTGAGCGGCCCTACAGCTGCCCTGCCTGTGGTGAGTCTGACAAAGCCACTGTTTTCTCGGAGACTGAGGGGAAGCGGCCCGCCCTTTGCCTCCTCACAGGAGTGATCCCACATACCAGACACTGCGTCTTCGAGGTATCAGGAACTGACTTTAATGCTCCAAATACAAAGCAATTCAAAGTCCCACCACCAAGAGCTGGCAGTCCCACTTTGGGAGCAAAGGGCATGCTTCTTGGAGTCACTGATTAGAAAGCAAAGGGCCTGGCCAGGCCTCAGCGAGGGCATTGATGGAAGTGGAGAGCAGGTAGCTTTCTATCTCAGGTGCCTTGCCACACAGATGAAGACCAAGAGCATGGTATCTGTAGTTTGTGACTACATGGTATATTGTAGTTGTAGACTGCGTAGAATCGAGAGTCATGCACCCCCAAGGCACTTGAGGACTGCGTGTGCGCATGTACCCGTTCTGTGTGTCGGCTTGACAGTGCTGACGGAGCTGTGATGAGCAGGTGACTGGAATTTACAGTGCTCTGTCCCGAGCAGTTGAGGAGGTGCTTAGAGCACACCTGGATTAGGTTCTGCTGAGGCCTGGCACTGCAGCTGGCACCTGGCAGCACAGAATTTTGGGAATGCAGCCAGGATTTCTTTCCCTTCTCTATTTTGACAGATCTAGTGAACGCCACTGTCCTGCTAACTGAAGTCAGGTTTCACTCCTCTTCATAGTAACTCCATATGACTAGTTTATACATACTAGGGACGCTACAGGTGGTGGTGCCAGCCTCCCAGTAATCCCAGGTGAGAGTTACCTTAATGGTGCAATAAAGGCAAAGCGTCTACATTATGGCCAGAGATGGTCGGGAGCAGAAGCTGCTAAGACACAACAGTAGTAAAGGAGGAGCCAGGAAACTGTCAAGCCATCGACTACCACAAACACACTACCAGGACAACACATAAAACTGTGACGATGCCTGATATAACATTAATGTGAAAATTCTGAACCTGGGTAAGACTTGGGGGTGGGTCACAGGCAGTGAGCTATTAGTGGGTGCTGGTTCGGGTTTACATGGAAGTCAGAGTTTTCTTGCTTGGAGAGTCCGATCTAGTTTGATTGTTCAAAGGCATTCTTCCTTGCACCCTACACCACATGCACTTGTTGCTTAACCAGCCTAGGTAGCTGAAATCAAAGACATAAGTACAGTGGGAAGTTCGCAGTATGTCCAGTGTGCATGAGGATGTTTCCCTTGAGGGAGTTCTCGACACATTAGATAGAGCCTTTGCACTTACCTGCTGAATTCCCGCTTCTCCCAGGAGACAGGCTGAAGAAAAAGTGTGTGCACATCTTTGGTACGCGCTGGCTGCACAGACATCAGGAGAGGGATGTTCCTAGGCTGGCCACGTTGCACTGCTGTAGTAATGGTCACTCCCACGGGCTGCCACCACCACTGTTCCTGACAGAAACCAGGGAGGAAAGATAGTGTGGGCTGAAGGTTTCCTTCAAAGGTCCAGTCCAAATGACTCACTTTCCCCCGCTGGGCCCCATCTCCAAAAGCTCCACATCCTCCCAGACATCATCATCAGTTGGTGGCATTAAGGGACACTGCAGGTTCAAATGGCAGCCACATAGCACAGAAGTAGCACTGCTGAGGAGGGCTGGGTTTCCGCAGAGGAGGGAGCAGCCGCTGGCTAGCACTGAGACAGACCCTAGACGACTTGTGCTGAGTCTCCAGCTGCAAGGGACCTCATCCAAAGTGAGGGCGCCATGGACCACCCTGAGATCATCCTTCCATTTCTAAAGTCCCCCGTTCTCTCCTCAGGGAAGTGCTTTGGGGGCTCAGGAGACCTGCGCAGGCACGTCCGAACTCACACTGGGGAAAAGCCCTACAGCTGTGAGATCTGCAGCAAGTGCTTTACGCGCTCCGCGGTGCTGCGTCGGCACAAGAAGATGCACGGCCGAGCCGATGCCAGGAGCCCAGCTGCGCTGGATGAGCTGAGCCAGGCCATCGAGACCTCTGACCTGGAGAGGTCTCAGAGCTCCGACTCCTTCTCCCAGGACGTGTCCGTCACACTGATGCCCGTGTCTGTCAAACTCCCTGGGCACCCAGTGGAAAGTTCTGTGGCAGCATTCGATGGTCACTGCACTGGTTCCTACTGTAAGTTACGCTCCATGCTCCACCCTCCTAGCATGAGTGACCAAGAAAAACTGGGCCTGGATCCTGCCAAGCTGGCCAAGCCCCAGGAGCTGCAGAACCAGCCCCATGCCTATGCTTATTCGGATGTGGACGCCTCAGCAGGTGCTGAGCAGTCACAGGCTGATGGCATGGCTGTGACCCGCTCTTCCTTGGCCACGCTGGACAACCACTGCACTGAGCCACTGGGCAGCCGGGCATCTTCAGTGACTTACAGGAACTCTGAGGGACAGTTTTTCTCTAGTATGACCCTCTGGGGGCTGGCAATGAAGACCCTGCAGAATGAACATGAGCTAGAGCAGTGATGTGCCATCTCATAACACTGGAGAGAGGCACCCTGCCCAGGACAGCCCCCTGCAGCTCTGGAGACCAGTTAGATGGTTTCCCTCCCAGTGGCTGCTGGGAACTCCATGGATGGGCCCAGGAGTTGCTAGCCCCCTGCTGGTCCCAGGGGCAAATGGTGTGGGGAAGTCTCCACAGCAGCCTGGGTCCTAGGGTATGGGACTAGCTGATGTACATCGGTGTGGCAGTGCACCTTACGTCAGCTGCTGTACATTTTCGTCCTGTTAAATGTCATATGTATACATAAAAATACAGATTTTATTTTTACATTTTTATAAGAGAAATTTTTAGCATCTTATATTTTTAAATATTTATACAGATTCTATTTGTATAATGAACTTGTAATATAATTTGAATAAATGAGCTTTCTTTTCTATATACTGTTTTATATTTTGTAATTTTTCCCAGGACTTTACTCTGTTTTTTTAATGCAGGGTTTCACCATGTATTCCTGACTAACCTCAAACTCTCTAAGTAAACCAGAGAGAACTCACAGAGATCCACTTGTGTCTGCCTCTCAAGTGCTGGAATTAAAGGCATGTGTTACCATGCCCAGTGCTCAGCATTTTTATTAATCTGAAGACCTTAGTACTATAAAAATACATATCAATGCAGAAGACCTTGGGTTTGAGTCTCAGCACCGCCCAGAAATGGCATGAATATCACTGACTTGGCTGTCTTAAGCCAATTCATTGGCTTAAATGTAAGACTTAAATATTAAGCCCTGAGTCCCGTCATGTCACCAGCCTGGGGTGGGGGCCTCAGAGTCCTCTGAACATCCCAGCTCCTGGCAGCCACTTCTGGGTAGGTCACAGGATCTTCTCTTGGCCACCCAGGATCTTCTCTTGGCTGGCTTGTTGCAGAGTGAGATGAGCCCTTTACAGGCCTGAAGTCTATCCCCTGCTTGCAAAGCCCCGTCAGCTTCCAGCATTAATGGAGCTCCTTAGGCATGAGCTTACTCTGTCCCTCAGGCCTGAGGGACTGATGACATGTCTGTCCACGGAACTGTCTCTGGGATGTCCTAGCAAACATGGGAACAGCTGCCTTGTAGCACGCAGTGGATTGCCTATTGGAGTCTTTGAGAGCACCCTCTTGCAACTCTAACTCAGAGAAGCAGTGTACCTGCAGAGAGAACCTGGCAAGGACAGGAGGATGCCACAGCGAATAGCCAGGCCCAGAGAACTGTCAGCCAGGAGTGACATCAGGTTCCCCTCCCGGTTTCCTAGCCACTCACTACACCATGGTTCCCCAAGGGTGGCTCAGCAGACAGAACCAGAGCTTTATGAGGGTTGAGCAGCCTGTCCACGGGCATGCCTAAGTGTGGGTGCTTTGAATAAAACGTGTGCCTGGGTTGAACTTGGATGGAGTGTGATGGTTGCTGGTGAATGTCGGCCCCTTACATCCTTCCCCTTCCCCCCATCTCCCACTGCCTTGATAGCTTCTCATTCCAGTAGCTCTTGGCCTCCGTGGGTCATGTTGTCCTTTAATCCCTCATCTCATCCTTACAGATCCCTCTTACAGGCTACATGCCACAGTCCTCATGTCACAACTCCCTCAGCAGGTCACCCATCACACAGATGGGACAATTCATCTCTGCCCTCTGTGTACCCAGCCATGAGAAGTGGCCCTTTGGTTTCTAGACAACACTTCCACTGAGCCCTTGTCCATCTCATAGCCATCTCGTGCTGTCCTTCCTGGCACTCTCCTCCAGCTCCTTGGGCTCTTGGGCCTGTCCCTTCATCACACCTCTGTCCTTGCTCGCTATAGTTCTGAGAACACAGAAGCAAACAGGAACTTCCAGCAAACAGCTTCCAGTATGTGTCCACACCTGTTGACCATACTCTGTTCAGCTGCAGCTCCCCGCCCACATCTCCCCGCATCATCACTCAGGATGTGCTGAGCCACTGGTGCGGGCCTTTGGTGTCCTTGCCGGGATGTAAGCCTAGGGAATGTTCTGAGTAGTGCCTGGCACTTCGGACACTCAGTACTTACTTAGAAAGCTGCTTTTTTTTTTTAAATTGGAATATGGCCACCTAGATTGATCCTCTGGTTTTCCCTTGAGCCCTGGCCACTTAGATCTTTGTCCCATTACTCCATGAAATGTTTTTTTCCTCAGGTCACCAGTGATCTCTCCATTGCAACTCACAAATGGATTCTCAATCCCCAACTCAGGTAGACCTGAGCAGCATGTCCACCTTTCTTCCTAGGGCTACTCCTTTCTCTGGCGAGTGGCCCAGTCTCAGAACCCATCCTTGCTGACTCCAACCCACATCCCAACATCAAGTGTCCCAGAGCCCAGGCCCTGGATTCTCCCCTCCTCTTCCTTGTCCACTCTCTAGATAACACAACTACGGACTACAGGTCATTTTGCCCAAGATCTCTTATCCGGACCTCTCAGAACTCTAGAGTTATATGAGTGCTTGCTGCTCTTGCAGAGGACCCCAGTTCAGTTCAGTTCTGCATTGGGATGCTCAAAATCACCTGTATGTAACTCTAGCCCCCGGGGTATCCAATGCCCCTCTGCCCTCCACAGGCATTGCATTCACTTGCACACATACAGATAACACAAAGGTCCGATGAAAGAACAGTAGCTAGGATTTACTTGGTGAGACCCTCTGCAATTCCCTGTATCGACTTATGAGCTGCTCCAACACCCCAGCACCGTTCTCATGCATGGGATCACCTTCCAGACACTTGCCTCCGATACAAATGCACTTAGACATTTTCCCCAAGTGATCACACAGTGACCTTAGCCTGTCATAATTTGTCACTGACGTCGACCCCTGTCATCGACATCTGTGGAAGCACAGCCAGGGGCAACACACTTGGGGTCCCCGATACAACTCTCTTTGCCACCCTTGCAAAATAAAAATTTTATTTTAGAAATCGCTCATTGTAATACTTGCCATGTGTAAATTTTATGATGTGTAAGTGAAGCTGGAAAAAAAACTATGAAAAACAACCCAAAAAAGTCTGTTGGCACCAGCGTTCTGAATGTCTGTGTAATGAATTCCTTGGTCCAGCGTCCTGTCAGCTTGATGGTGTTTGTCTGTGACAGCTGGTACTCATCTACTACCTCTGCCCTAGCTGCTTTGTGCAGGTTTCCATTCAGCCAGCAGATGGCAGCAGCATCCCCTCAGAAGCATGGCCGGGCCTCAATCAAGTGCTAAGGCCTAAGGCTACTGGGCCTGGGATCTTGCAGTTCTTTCCACATAGCCCAGCACATTTGCTCACCCTAGCTTCCTCAAGCCCTCCTGCAAGCCTGTGGGGAGACAGCAGTCCTGCCCCCACCCCAAGAGGGAAGTCATATGCTTGGTTATTTTTCAAGCTTATTGGGTGTTGTCCATAACTCTGGGTCTAGTATCCACGCTGGAGGATTCCCTTGGGGATGACTCAGACTGGGGAATGTTCCTAGCAGTGTTTGGGACTTCAGATGTTCAGTACCTTACTTGGCCAGGGGATGCTCCCAGGAGGGTACTCCACACCTCCAGTCTGACCTTGCACAAGGTTTTTGGGGTCCTGGTTCTCTGTGACTCTGGCAAAAAAAAAAAAAGGGGGGGGGGAAACCATAGGTGTGAGGGCTGGAGATGTAGCTCACTGAGCCTAGCATGCCCAGAGTTCTGGGTTTAATCCCCAGCATTGGTTCTGTGAACCTGGAGCTGTGGGAACAATGCCAGACAGAAAAGGCCGTATGCTGCATGCACTAGATTGTTATCTGATTCTCTGTAAACCATCCAGACCAGACGCGTCCAGAAGGAAAGAAAGTAGACAGCTTGTTGCCAGGTATGGGGAGAATGGAAAAATGAATGCTCAGTGGGCCCAGGGTTCTGTTTAGGGAGGTTAAAACATTCTGAAATTAGCTCGTGTTTATTTAGGATGAGTTGGGCGGATGTCCTAATTTCTGCCCCTCCCCCCAAACTGTCTGGAGACAAGTCCTTTGTGGAGGAATGTAGGTTTGAACAGGTCATAGGGGTGAGACCAATGCGATTGATGTCCTAGTAAGGGATCGTGGTGGTATTACCACCACCACCCCCCCATCTACTGCTGGGCAGTGTGGGAATTATAGAGAAGTGACATTGTTGAGGTCAGATGCTGTTGTCCAGCTGGGTGCAATGGTTCAGAGTCACCAGCCACCACCTTGGCTCTCCCTCGCTCTCCTCCTGTACAAGATGCAACTAGAGCGACTTCGCCCACTTCACAGGGTTAGAGTTGATGACCCGGGAGGCCAGACTAGAGCCTGCAGGGCAAGTGGAGGACCAGGGTGCTCCTTGCCATTGCTCTTTCATGGGGGTGACGGGAGAGTGGCACTCACCCCTCTTCTGCTCACTGATGTCCTCCCTATCCCTGCAGTGGTACCCAGCACATAAGAGACATGGAAGAGTCATGGAAACAGAAAGTGGAGCTGGTGTTTGTGGTAAACAACATTCTCTCTGTGACAGTTGTTCAAATGGCCAGTGACATTCTGACATGAAATCCAAGCAAAATCTAGTTACTACCATGGGCCGGACACACACTACCACCACCACTACCCACCACCACCA